GAACTTTGGACAAAATTAATCCAAAACTAGATAAAAGAATACACGTTAGCTTTGATGTGGACGCCATCGACCAAATGATAGCTCCGAGCACTGGTACTCCAGTACCGGGAGGACTCACTCTGAGGGAAGCCTTTTGTATTGGAGAAGAGATTTTTAAGACAAATAAATTATGTGGTCTTGATTTGGTTGAAGTGAATCCTAAGATTGGGAATGAACATGAAGTTAAAATGACAATAGACTGTGCTATCAATGTTATCCTTTCGTTTTTAGGCAAATCCAGAATCAATAATTTTGTTAAATCATAAAAATTGACTTTGGATTAAATTTTAGTAATTCATATTAGGATGACAACAGCTAATCATTTAATAGATATATGATAGAACCAGATGAGTCTTATAAGACAGTCACTTAGATGCTGTAATCTTATCGTAATCATATCAGTATTTTTATAAATTTTAATTAAATCTAATCTTGAATGAATTAAATATTGTAATTAAAATAAATTGTAAACTAAAGCCTTAAAAATAAATTGAGTTTGTATTTTCTGAATTTTACATTACTCAATATTATACAATATGCTAATCACTGTTATCATTAGTGTATGCCATCTGAAATAAATTTTAAAAAACTTTATACCACACTATAGAACTTAAATTGATGTGGATCATATGAAACACGAAAGGAAAGCAATGTTATGCAAACATTTCATCATTTTTGGTTAGAAATTGAGATTCTTATCCGAAGAATGAAATAAAGTCAGTATTTAAGAAATAAAATCTCAATATTTATTTAATATTAAAAATCAATTGAAAAGATTGTTATATTAATTCCAATAATAACTAAATTTATTCAAATAAATAGAAATTTGATGACAAGAAGTGAACGAAATGTGAAAAATGAGAGCTAAACCTAACGATTAATTTACAAATGGGTTAGAGTTCATCCTTTTCAGAGTCAGGACCGGCTTCACCACCGGGTGTGGGACCGGCGCCGGCGTATAACTTGGCAATAATGGGCTGAACGGTGTCCTCCAACTCCTTCTTCTTAGCTTTCATTTCAGACACTTCTGAGTCAGCGTTAGCCTCCATCCATTTGATGGCCTCATCGACGGCCGTCTCAATAGTGGTCTTCTCCTCGTCGGTGATCTTTCCGCCGAGTTTTTCCTTATCCGAGATCTGGTTCTTCAGAGAGTAGGCGTACGACTCCAACTCATTCTTGGCCTCAACCTTCTCCTTAACCTTCTTGTCGTCGTCGGCAAACTTCTCGGCGTCTTTGATCATACGCTCGATGTCTTCGGGAGTGAGTCGGTTGTGATCGTTAGTAATCGTGATCTTCTCCTTATTGCCGGTTCCCTTGTCTTCGGCCGTCACTTTCAGAATGCCGTTCACGTCGATCTCAAACGTCACTTCAATCTGAGGCACACCTCTGGGCGCCGGAGGAATACCAGTCAAATCGAATTTGCCCAAAAGGTGGTTGTCTTTGGTAAGGGGTCGTTCCCCTTCGTACACTTGGATAGTGACGGTGTGCTGATTGTCAGATGCAGTACTACAGGTGTTCACAAACAGTTAGTAAATGCTTCTAATATATAGCTTTAAATTGAAAGCATTAACTCACCTAAAGATTTGGGATTTTTTGGTCGGAATAACAGTATTTCTGGGAATCAATTTAGTCATAACACCGCCAACGGTCTCAATACCCATAGTCAAGGGGTTTACGTCCAAAAGTACGAGTTCTCCGGTGTCTTCCTCTCCAGACAGCACTCCCGCCTGAACTGCAGCTCCGAAAGCGACGGCTTCGTCGGGATTTATACCTCGAGTCGGCTCTTTGCCATTAAAGAACTCCTTGACTGTAAATAAGGTAAAGAATTAATAACCGGTTCCATACGACTAACTATTGCCAGACATACCTAATTGTTGCACTTTAGGGATACGTGTGGATCCGCCCACTAATACTATTTCGTCGATATCTTTCTTCTGGAGGTCTGCGTCTTCGAGTACTTTCTGGACGGGTTTGAGAGTCGATCGAAACAAATCCATATTCAACTCCTCGAACTTAGCTCTGGTGAGCACTTCGCTGAAGTCTTCGCCGTCAAACATGGACTCGATTTCGATCCTCGCCTGATGTGCACCACTCAGAGTTCGCTTCGCTTTCTCCACCTCTCGTCGCAACTTCTGAACGGCTCTGTTATCGCTTCGGATGTCTTTCCCGGTCTTCTTCTTATAGAGTTTGATGAAGTGCTCCATCACTCGCTGGTCGAAGTCCTCACCACCCAAATGGGTGTCGCCATTAGTGGACACCACTTCAAACACGCCGTTATCAATGGTCAGGAGCGACACATCGAAGGTTCCGCCGCCCAAATCAAACACCAGAATATTCTTCTCGCCCTCTCTTTTGTCCAAACCGTAAGCGATGGCCGCAGCGGTCGGTTCGTTGATAATCCTCATGACGTTCAGACCGGCGATAACACCGGCGTCTTTGGTGGCCTGTCTCTGGGCGTCATTAAAATACGCGGGGACTGTGACCACTGCGTGCGACACCTTTTTACCCAAATAGGCCTCCGCTGTCTCCTTCATTTTGGTCAACACCATTGCACTCACTTCTTCGGGTGCGAACACCTTCTGTCCGCTTCCGGTCTCGACCTTCACGTGAGGCTTTCCGCTCTTCTCTATCACTGTTTCATCAGACAATTGCCGTCAATACAGGCCTCACTCAAGTGGTTCTACACGCAAGACATACCTTTGAAGGGGAAGTACTTGACGTCCGCCTGAACGGTAACGTCGGTCCACTCGCGACCAATAAGTCGTTTGACGTCAAAGATGGTGTTCTCGGGGTTAGAGGTCAGCTGATTCTTGGCCGCGTCACCAATGAGTCGCTCGCCCTCAGCGGTGAAGGCCACATATGAGGGTGTGATGCGATTACCCTGGTCATTGGCAATGATCTCGACCCTACCATTCTTGAAGACACCGACACACGAGTAAGTGGTGCCCAAATCAATGCCAATCACTGTTCCCACGCTGTCTTTGCCGTCTTTATCACCGGAATCGCTCTTCTCTTTGGCGAAAGTGGCCGACAGTGCCACCAATGCCACCAAACAGGGGATCCATATGTGTCCACAAGACATCATATCTGGAGATCAAGACAAACCAAATGAGTTAACAACCGGCGAAACTAGTCATGCATTCAATGCTTTAAATCTAGACTTAGACACGACTTGTGAACACATTTTGGCCACAAATCGCGATTTCGTGTCTCAGACAAGTGTCCACTCAATGCAGACATACCTTTGGATAATAGGATTAAAACTTGAAATTATAATAAATAACTGAATTAATGATGAATTTCGAGAAAATTGGTGTAAAAGTGAAGACTTGTGTTAAGACACGTAACAAACTCATGAAATGTATTGGATTTAATGGAAAACTATTCACTGTTTGAGGCATTTATTCATTTATACGAGTAGTCGGTATTCGTGTCTCTATTTCATTGGCTCTCATTCACTGCACACATAATGTGTCGCAAACCCATTGGTCGTTGTCTTGGACTCCACCCTAACGCCGGTGTCGTCACCCGTGTTATGAATCGTAACACTATTTGAAAGTTATATTCAATTGAATCAAACTTTTATTTCATTACAAATATACGTGTGTTTTATAACTACACGGTATAAGCATTTCATTTGTTACTATTATCGCATATTTCACACAAGCAATTGAACTCCTTTTATAAAAATTGGCACATAATGCAATGGTAAATATTACCCTGGATCATCCAGGCTGGATGCAATATGCCTAGAACATTGCATATATCATACTTATTTGACAGCAGGGTAATGTCTAATAATAAAGTTAATTACTTGTATTAATATCATCAAATTGGTTATAGATTTATATGAACAATTAATTTATAATGATTTTTTTTATAAACGCAAATATCAAACAGGGACTCATAATAATGCAAACTTTTATTTGTAAAAATTCTATTAATTGAACAATATTTAAAATTTCTCATAAAGAATCTCATATTTATAAACATTAGTACATTAATTTGTTTTAAAAGAATTGTCATTATTAATGATTACAATCATAAAATACATTTTTCTTTAATCTAAGAATGTTTGGAGAAGTTAAGCGATGAAAAACACAAAACAAACATTTAGTACAATAGAAAAGTTAAAAAGTTATGGTTGGCTAAGGTTTGTATTGAAGAAAGACAACACAAAACTACATGAACTTGTAGTTTGACATGAGACTGCTTTTCACTAAATGTCATTTTTTTTATCAATTCTACTATTTTGCATTTAATACACACAGAATACATTCAAATGCCATATTATTAAATTGCTTAAATATTTATAATTTATCAATTATTTAAAATTTTTAATCAACACTTTATAAAATCCTAATAATTTCAATGGGAATATTATACAAAGTTACTGTATACAGGAATAAAAATTTATGTTACATTATAAATTGTTATTTGTATTGTATTGTACTACAGTATGATACAGTATTGCAGTGTATTGTTCTGTAGTATTATAACTTATATGAGTTCAATACAAATCGATTTTTATTTTCTTAGGCATTGAGTTATTTACTTTAAAAATCCTATGTTTTGTGTAAGTCTTGGAATCGATTTCATAACATGTGATCCGTTTAAACACAAGTCTGTCTCATATATTATTTCAAAACTGGTTTTTATTTTCTTGTATAAGAACTTCAATTTTGAATTCGAGACAATTTTTTTTGTAGGAATTACATAAAATGTAAGTTGCTTTGCTATCAGGGATATACACATCAGACAGACCTAGTGGTTGGTGTCAAATAGGGAGTGAATGTCTTATGCTATACAAAAGTATAGTAAAAATTCTATTGTTTAATAATTTATTTAAGGCTAATGTTACAATTTTCTATTAACACCAGGATATTAATAAGACTGAATTAAATTATTGCATTATTAAAACTTGTATAAATATTCAAATATAAGTTAGATTACTATTCCTCATTGCCCCTGGTCCTTTTTATTTTACTGTTTGTTTAAACAAAAAAGAAAAGTTTATTAAAATTTACTTTAAGAAAGGTAATTCCAGCACAATTAATTGTTATTAACCTAAGCTATTGGCTAAGAATTACAATGTAAAATGACATAGGTAACTGGTTGAAATGGACTTTAAAATTGAGTGTCATATATATTTCTAACATAGAATAACCAGTTCTAAACGATGGCCCTCTACAGGAGGTCATAAATCAAAGCATGTCTCGCATATTATGAAACATTTTTCATTTCTTAAACCTGTGCCTCACTTTCACTACAATTTTTTGGTTTAAACTTAAAATAAAGTTTTGTATAATATGTAATAAAATGATTGAAGAATTAATTTTGTTTTCATTTATTTATATTATAATTAAATGTGTTTTATGGTACAAAAATCGGATTAATATCCACAAAATATTCATAAGGAATGGCATAAAAGGTCCGAAACCATCACTAATTTCTGGTAATTTCTATCAATTAAAAGTCAATCCAAACGATACATTCGATGAATGGATACAAGAATATGGAGACTATTTTGGATACTTCTTAGGCGACAGACCTATTCTAATGGTCAATGATTTAGATGTGATTCAAACCATTTACCTAACGAAGAGCAAACAATTCAGAGATCGGCCAAAATTCTTCCTCAACGCCAAACCCTTCGTGTCTTCACTTTTAGCCCTCAGAGGAGAGCGTTGGCGTCAAGTCCGACGAGTTATGACTCCTTTCTTCACTCACCATAAGATCGCTTCTGAAGAGATTACGGATATTATCAACAAATCCATTGACACATGTATTGCAAATATTATGACACAAACGGAACAAAGAGTTAAAGTGGAGGATAGGATGCAATCAATAACTTTAGACATCATTTGTAAGGTTGGGCTTAATATGCATGACACAGATGTTCACGAAGACAACAGTGAGTTAAGAAGTGCGGCCAAGGAGTTCATGGTATCGGCCACTAATGTGGTGGTCATATGCGCCTCGTTTTTCCCATTCCTGAGACCAATCCTATCCTTTATTAACAATTACCTGACGGCCGGACGTATGACTGATTGGATTTTGTGTCATCTCAACAAACAAATCAAAATCGAAACTCAGAACTTGTCAACGGATCCAAACTATCTAATGAATACACCATTAAAATCAAATAATGTCCTGAAATCGATGTTAAGATGTTTTCTGGAGAAAAGTCTTGAAAGAGACGAACTGACGGGTAATTCACTTCTTCTGCTGTTAGCCGCTTCTGACACCACGGCTATGGGTCTGACGTATGCTTTGTATTGTTTGGCGAAAAACCCAGACATTCAGCAAAAACTTCGCTCTGAAATCTATTCACACGGATATCAATCACATTACGTCGATATGGTTTGTATTCATTTTGAGATAATTGTTTGATATTTATTGTGAAAGTATGAGGACAGGTATGGAGTGAATCCCTCCGTCTGTTCCCACCCGTCACTACTTTCGTCCAAAGAGAAGCTGCAGAGGACGTCGTCGTCAATAATATATTGATACCAAAGGGGGTGATAGTACAGGTGCCCGTCTGGCACATACATCACGACCCAAACATATGGCCAGAGCCTAACAAATTCAATCCGGAAAGATTTGCGCCACAAAATAGGTCTGTGTTTGCATTCATTTAATGCATTATTCTGTGATTCATTAATAATCAAACTATTTTAACCTCAATTTCATTACAATTACATATAAATAATAACATGTTTTGTTGAATAATTAAGAATTGACTCAATTGTAGATCGGGTGATGAGAAGCACTCCATCCGCGAGTCTTTCCTGGCGTTTGGTTTGGGTGTCCGCACGTGTATTGGCATTGAGTTGGCCCGACATGAGGCCAGACTCACGCTCTCCGCAATTGTCCACAAGTTCTCAATTGAATTATGCGATCAAACACCTGATCCACTGGAACTCCATTGTCCAGCAGATATCTTATACCCAAAACAAGCCCTCTATTTGCGATTTATTCCGTTGACTCAATGATCCTTTAAATGCAACTCAATTCGTGTTTTCAATAAATTCTTGAAACAAATTTTACGTTTAAAATTGAGAGTCTCAAAATCATTGAACTACTACTTAATCATTGTCTATTCAATCAGACACAACAGTAAATAAAATCAGATATTTTTATAGTAATGTTGTGAAATATGAGACAATTAGTTGTCAAACAACTGGAGTTATAACAGCAATACAAATACTATAATATACCTGTAATTAAGTGAGTGTTACGTAAAAGTATGTATATGTCATGTGTATTCATTCATACCTATCAATCGCATAAATGACTACTTTATTATAAATAATATTAATATTGATAAGAATGAATCAAATAAATATGCAAATTGTGTATAATTTTGGAGCTGATTATAATGTCCTGTACACTATTTTACAGAATAAAAGTTGTTACAAATTCATAGACTTTTTATGTAACGATTAATTTGTATGAATGCCTCAGATATTCAAACCATTGGACTTGTGATGAATTATCCGAAAGTGCCTTGTTGACTTGTTTGTCAATTAATAAAATAGAAATTCATTTAAATAATTGGCGTCAAGTTTGCAGATATAGCGGACAAGTTGATAGTGGAAAGGGAGGGACAGGGAGGGCATTGATTGGCTCGTCTATGAGTGTAATGTATGTATTGAATGACTGATGACTGACTGACTACTGAACACATGTTTGAATGAATGACTGAATGAATGGATGTTTTGATAAACACATTGAATTGAATGACAAATTGCTTTCAATATTACATGACATTCAGTGTTCACTCATTTGTGGCCAACTTGTGATCAGTGGTGAGATTAGTGGCAAATATGATGTAATTGTGTGGACAAGGCTTCCATCTCTTGATGTCGCTATCATTTGAGACATTCATCCACTTGTTTGCTGGCGGGTAATGATCCCCTCCCCACACGCCATGCCTTATATGAGCCCTCATTTGATTGCATTTATGACTGCAGTGTCGGCGGAACTATCGGTGCGATCATAACGTGTCCGTTGGAAGTGGTGAAGACACGACTGCAGTCATCGGTGGCCTGTTTTAGTGGATCCCAAACGACGCAATACTTGACGCCCACTCTGACGGCCACCGCCACCAAGTCGTCGGTCCCTCTCTGGCGGTGTATTCGTCACATCATAGACACCGAGGGTCCCAAAGCCCTCTTCAAAGGCTTGGGTCCCAACCTGATCGGAGTGGCGCCCTCCAGGTCTCCATCACTTCCACTTTGATCTCATGATTACTGTAGTCTTAATTGCTATCAATTCACTCAAACACTAAACTCCACATGAATTGTCTTCATTTGAAAACTGATTTCTTGAGTCAAAAACTTTAATTCATTTGTTCATTATTTAAAGCAAACGTTATTTGAGTTTAATTTAGACAAAGAAATAGTGATAAAAAAGTTTTTAGTATTTATTTATTTATTTGATTTAATGGCAGAGATTAGGATAAAGTGATAAATACTTGAATGACTGTTAGTTATGGTTTGTTTTGAATCAGATTTCAATGTTGACTCAATATATTGTATTGTCAAATGTGGACATTAGTGTTCATTTAGCCATTATTAACATAATGTATGATAACTTTATATTATATAACTTATGATATTTAGACAATTGAGTAGACACTGGACACTGTAGTACCGATGAATAATGATGTCATTATGGTTTTGTGTGTTCCAGAGCCATTTATTTTTGTACATATTCAACAGTTAAAAACTCATGTAACCAAAGCTTTACATCGGCCGACACACCACTGGTCCATATGGTGGCGGCCGGCAGCGCTGGCTTTGTCTCGTGTACGGCCACTAATCCCATTTGGTTTGTCAAGACTCGACTCCAATTGGATCAGAGGTTTCCTAATCGCACCATCACTTGACCTCATATTATAAAATACTGTTTATCTGTATTGACAGCAAATACGGGGCAAAGACTGCCTGGAATTGCATTAAAGACATATACAGACAATCAGGAGTCATCGGCTTTTATAAAGGCATTACTGCCTCTTATTTCGGAATTAGTGAAACGATTATACATTTTGTTATTTACGAATTCATTAAAACAAAGCTAACGGAAATACAGGTGCGGCGCCCACACCAGTCCGAACGAACGACTGGATTATATTTTGTACAATATATGGCTGCCGGTGCCGTTTCTAAGTCATTCGCATCCATACTGGCCTACCCTCACGGTATCACTCAAATGAATGATTAGTCTTTTGAATGAATGAATCATTGAATGCAATGTCTGAATGGTTACAGAAGTGGCGCGGACTCGACTCCGAGAAGAAGGCAACAAATATCGGAGTTTTATTCAAACTTTATATCTCGTATGGCGTGAAGAGGGAGTCAAGAATGGTTTATATCGAGGAATGTCTGAATGGTTACAGAAGTGGCGCGGACTCGACTCCGAGAAGAAGGCAACAAATATCGGAGTTTTATTCAAACTTTATATCTCGTATGGCGTGAAGAGGGAGTCAAGAATGGTTTATATCGAGGTCTGGCCACTCAACTGATCCGTGAGTTTAAAATGCAATCCATTTGTTGAGAGGTATAGGATGTTAACGCTAGTGTTGTAATGACAGGTCAAATCCCGAATACCGCTATAATGATGGCCACATATGAAGTGATAGTTTATTGCATGAAATCATTACATACATCACACTCTACTCTCTAGTCATCTCTTCCTACGTGTATATACACTACATATCTGTGCCTTTGTTTATAAAATTAGTTTTAAACGATATTAAAGTTTTATCACAATTAAAAAAAATTGTTAAGTAAATTGATTTATCACTCAAAGAATCGTTTCAATAAATGTTTCCATAATTTAGCGACTTTTGAATTGCAGAGAAACGCGATGAATAGTATAACTCCTTGAGATGTATTACAAATGACAAACACATAGGACAGCACTTTTAATAATGTTTCGTATTTGATAGGAATCACTGCTATTATAAGTGCAATAATCCACGTAAAACCCATCAACACAGCTAATCGCGTGAATATAAGTGCTTGATTTGGGCGCCGGGATGCGCTGGTTAGACTAGCCGTACTCGTAGCACTAGTGGTGCTGACCGTGCGAATAGAGGAGGTGCTGCTTGCGGTCCCCGACGAGGTGGTGGATGTCTCACTCGAATCCGATGGGATTCGCGTCACTTTCCTTAAGTTGGCTGAAGTTCTCAAATCAGTTCTCACTTGACATACAGTCTTTAGATAGAGAGTTAAGTTAACTATAATATTGATTGTGAGGGGGATCCCAAAGAAGGCGAATGTGGCCCAAGGGTTGCGAATCCAACAGCTCGACAACTCTCCCAAATCACCATAATTTGGTTTGACACGTGAATTACATTCTTCACATATTATGGCAATTATTATAACAATTGCCGCACAAGAGTTTGCTGCCAACCAATAGCTTATTCTTAATTTATGTACACTTTTTACTCTAATTTGCATTTTCCTGGCACCAAATGTTTGATACATATCGTACGCTATTATACTGTAATACAAATGATCATTAAATTGTTTGTTAAGTGATAACTGTAGGTGCGATAACGGCATACCTGGACCACGACATTGTCAATAGCAGAACAAAGTGTAACAAAATTGCAGCGACTCTGCAGTCCATCAAATGAGGACTCGTGAGGAATAGGATTTGCATCAAAGCGATACAAAAGACTAAATTAATTGTATTGAAACCATTGATTGTTGATCGGAATGATCTAAATGTAATGTATGTGATGAGAACACATGTCAATGCAGTTATCGATAGGATTATGAGAACAGTTGACAAAATATCTTCAACAAAGTCTTGTATGATTTCAAGATATTTCAAATGGTGTTCAACACATATATAAACGGAACCATTTGGAGCCAATTCGTAGCGCTCGTGAATGTGTCCATCTTTGGTCTCTAAAAGTGTTGATTCATTGGATCGGTTGCTGTAAACCCATTCATATTCAGTACTATTTAGTAGAATTTGAGTGCAATTTGAATGAATAAGAGTTTGTGTTTCACAGACCACTGCATTGGATGAGACACTGACTTTGTTCGGCTCTTCATTAGCCGATATGGACATGTTCTGAACATAGAGTATATCTCCCAGATATTCACCCGGCTTATACCTCTTTCGGGTTTCATTGACATACAAATAAGTGATGTTGTCTTCGGTTTGCATAAAGAACTGTGAATTCCAATACCAAAGCGGTATATCTGAGTCGCGATCGCAAAATGACTTCAGCTCTGAAATAGTCGTGTGAATAGAGAACGCTTTGATTGAGTTGTCGTAGAGTTTAAATGAGAGATCATTTTCGGTGATGGTTGTACTCAACACCATCAGAATCTCGTCATTGTCTGTATTTCCAGAAAACGAATTGTTTGCTTCCAGAAGAATAAAGTTGACATTCAATATGTCATCACTTGTACTGATATAAGACACGTTTACTATTCTCTGAGTGGATAACTGTGCAAAAGAATTGGCGAATTGTGTCATGAATTCCTGCTCGAAGGCTGTCTTTTGCTTATGAATCCATTCACTTATATTGATCACTGGATGCACTAAATTAAAACCAAGAGTTATGTTCACGATTTGACTCTCGGAGTCCAAGAAAGAAAGTGAAGGTTTGGTGATATCATCGTCACTATTGGAGTCATCATCTGTTTCGACACAATTGAATCCAATAAGAGTGAAATGTGCGGAACAATACATTTGACGGCACTGTTTGTTAAACGGGTCCCAAATCTGTTTTGCCGGACACTCATTATCATCTGAATTTGAGTATAGGATACGACTCCTGCCGTCGACTCCAAAGTTGACTAAAATTGCAAACGAAGACGGAATCGATTTTAAAATTTTCTTTTCATTCAGCACTCCATTCAAGTTATTTTCACTTGAATTTAGACCACTTTTGTTGACAGATCTGTAAACCAAATGATTTGAATAGTTTTCGATATAGTTTTCACTTATATTCAGCGAGTGATTGGCAGAACTTAGAACTTCTTGTTGAGAGTAATTCATTATAAAACAAACACTAATTATGACAAAAAACAATACTCTTATTAATGAATACATTTCATGAACAATTTAAATTGAATTAAATTAAAATTTATAAGTTTGTGTTATATACAGCTTAAGCCTTGAATTATTATCTCATTTTCAAAATACTGTATTATTAAATAGAATGGATTTTAACTCCAGATGTGTTGATCACATTGTCTTAAACACTATTATTATTCACTAATCATATAAAACTCAAAGTTTTAAGCTTTAAATCTTATCGCATATGGAATCAAAATTTATTGGTTATCATTGCTGAGATAATTCAATAAACCAATGGATTGCCAACACCGTATAACTCGTTATTCCCATTTAAACTGGACCATTATTTATTAAAGTAAATTGAAATCAGTAAATTGATTTTTTCAAATCTTTAACATATTAAACGTACCTGTACACTTTAAGAATTGTTTATACAGAAATATACAAAACTATTTGATATTTGTAACAGATTGTGATTAACAGTAATTAATACTAACAAGATATGTATTGTGAAACACAAGTAAGCAAGTGACCGATCAAATGATTGAAATATTATACATTTATAACAATTTATTAATTTTGAAAATAATTGTCATTCCTTTGATTTTATGTGAATAAATGTGACTTAAGTTTTATTTCACAAAACAATTACTACTTCTACGAAATGATTAACTGTTTTGTAATCAATAAATGTTATCCATGTTAGTAATATGCATTTATTCGAGTTCAATTTTAACCCTTTAAAAGTGTGACTGCATTGGACCTAAGGTTTAAAAAATTTGAATTCAACTCAAATAAAGAATTCATAACAGTATAAATTAAACATTAGTTGAAACCACTTATTGTAAAATTGGACATGATTCATGAATATCAAAATAAAATGATTCACATAATTTAAATAATTTAAATACTTTTACAGTATATTAATACAGTATTCATACAATTAGTCATAATTTAATATGATATTGTTACAAATCTTTTAAAATAATATAATATAATATATTATAAAGATTACTTTACCCCAGAGTTAATACTTAAAACACTTTTAAATAAAAAGTTTTAATTGTGAACTAACGAAAAGCAGTTGATTACAATTAAATAAATCATATAAATACAATACTAAATAAACTTGGAGTTGACTTGTGTTGTACTTACTGTTATTTGCTTAAATTATCTTATAATAAACGAACTAATAATTTAATTTAAAATTAATTGACAACAATTTTAGTTAATTAAAACTATAATAACTATCCATCTGTCAACCATCTCTACTTATTGAAAACTTAAATAACTTTTAAAAAGTTCTAAAGTTTACAGAGTAATGAAAAAGTATTGATATGCATTGTATTATATTTATACAATGTATGGACACAAATCATATTCAATATAATGAGTAATATTTGCTATAATTGTATAAAACGTGAGACAATGAAAGAGTGAACAATTAGACGAAGATGTGATCCAATGGATGTCTGGATGTATGTGATGATTGTGGTGACAATTTTCAATTCAAATGAGTCCTCATTTCTATGGTTTGTTGTGAAGAGAGCTCTCTATTGGATGCGAGAGTTATGTGCGAAACACGTGACGACAATCACAGCCCAAATGCCTCTCTTTGGACGCGTGTTGTGGTCTTCGGCGGTGTTTCGGTGCAACACTTCCAACACTTCCGCCATTTATGCCATCATTCGTCCCATTCATTCGTGCACTACATTCAAGACATGTCTTCAGAACCACAAAACCATAAGGAAGTCACTCATGAGAGTCAGTCATCGGATGAATGTTTGTATGTCTGACGGCTTCTAATGTTGTCTTCAATTGATTAGACAATGACTCAAAAGTCAGGGATCGAGGACTCGAAGAGGAATCTGTTCAGTTGGAAGTCATTTGTGATATCGGGAGGAATTGTGGCCATATTTTTGGTGGCATTTCTTCAGTTCAAAAGAGAGAAAATGTTGTCTTTAGAGAAGGAAAGGAGGCGTTCGTTAGGGAAGGCGTCGATTGGCGGACACTTCGACCTCATCGACCAAAATGGCAAACCCTTTACATCGAAAGACCTGTTGGGCAAATGGATTCTCCTGTACTTCGGGTTCACTCACTGTCCAGACATATGTCCGGATGAGATCGAGAAGATGGTGAAAGCCATTGAATTGGTGAACAAAATGCCAAATATGGGTGAAATCAAATCCGTGTTCATAACAGTGGATCCCGACAGAGACTCGAGTGAAGCTGTGAAGGGATACCTCAAAGAGTTTTCCGAAGACATAATAGGTTTGACGGGAACCAAGGATCAAATCGATGCGGCCACTCGTGCCTATCGGGTCTACTACTCTGCCGGACCTCGAGATCACGAGAACGACTACATCGTCGACCACACGATTATCATGTATCTGATTAACCCGGAGGGAGAGTTCATCGACTATTACGGACAGACAAAGACCGCCGAAGATATATCGAGTGGAGTGGCACTCAATATGATTAAGTACGCCAATCAACACAAGAAATTCAGTCTCTTTTGATTGCATTTATTAATAATTACTTATTTTATTGATTTATAAATAAAAGTTATATTAAAACTCATATAATGTATAAATTGAGTATTGAATGACCTCGACAACGGGCCTTATGTTCATTATTTGTAGAAATGTTTGTAATTTATTTATATAATTATACCGTAATATCATTTAGTCATAATAAAGTGGTAATTATTTGTCTATTGTTTGTAAAACTGAAAAATCATTGCAAAAAACCAATCACAGAATCGGTGAGGAATTCTATAATATATTATTATTTGTAATTAATTTAAAAAATGTATTAATACTTAAAATATTTGTTAATCAATAGACTTATTGTGAATCAGAATCGCAAATATCACAGAATTATATGGAATTAAAAATCATTCAAAATATTCGTCAATGGAAATGCGATATTATTTAAATTATTATATATTACTGTATAAGTTATGGTAAGTTTAAGACTAGAATTTGCTTCCATTTGGTTTAGTCTCACAGAAATAGTTTTGTTAATATGTTTGTGGTTTAGGGGCCGACGGCTCTCTTCTGTTGCAACAAATGTCTCAGTTTTGCCAAATTATTCTGAGTTATCATATCATCGGGTTTTAGGCGCAGGGCTTCCAAATAACTGAGCTCTGCCTCCAAGAGCTTTCCATTCACGTGAAGCATAGCTCCTAAGTTCATATGACTGGTGGCCTCTCGAGGGCGCAGTCGTGTCGCCCGTCGGTAGTAGTTCTCCGCCTCTTCGTTGCGTTTAATCTAAATATTTGAGTAAAATTTCAAAATTGATGGCAAACTAAGCACTTTATATATCATTACATGTCGTAAAGTATTGGCAGTATTGAAGATAATCTCGTAGTCATTGGGCGCCAGTTTTACCGCTGCTAAGTACACGTCTACGGCCTCTTCATGTCTGTCCTGTTCTGACAAGAATTGTCCTAAAAGTGATATAACATAATATTGAGAACGAAATCAAATCTGCAATCTTGCCATAGTGTTGACATACCGTAGTGTTGATAAACACTGGAGTCGTTTGGATCCAAGTGTTTGGCCTTAAGAAACCATTGCTCCGATTCTTGAATTCGATTGGATTTGGCCAACAGTTTAGCATAAGTGAGATGCGCCGGAATGTGATCGGGTTTGGCCGCCAGTGACTGTTTGAACCAATGCTCGGCATCTGTGAGTTGGCCTAACTTGAAGTAAGCCTCCCCTACCATATTATAGAGAGACTGTGCCTGATAGTGACTCGGCATCTTCTGGATGGCTTCGAAGTATATTTCCAGAGCCTTCTCATAGTTAGAGTCGTCGGCATAAATACGGCCCAAATTAAAAAGAGCTGAGATTTTAGTGCTTTCATGGAGTTTAGGGTCTTTGAGTCCCGTTCCGTCAAGTGTTGTGCAGTGTTTGTAGACATCGATGGCCTCTTGCTTTTTGCCCAATTGTACCAAAACTAAGCCCATATTCAAGTGAGCCATTGCCAGTCGGGGTCTGAATTGAACCGCATATCTATAGCTTTGCAACGCCTCCTCATATCTTCCCTGTTCTTGTAATAGAATTCCACTATTTTTTTCAAACAAAATATCAATTCTATTAAATTCGGATCACAATGAGATGTAAATTTACTCTATGTTTACATTAATAATCTATTTTTAAAACAACATTGGTTAATTCTTAATACATTTTAATATTAAGTATAAATAGCACTTCTAACACTCAGAAATAATAAAAACAGAGTATTCTCGGAATTTTAATAACATGAATGCACCTGTTAATGAATGAATGTACTAATAGTTTGCATTTAATACATAAAAATTATACTGAATCAATTTATCAAATATTAATTGAAAAAATTGAACATAAAGATAATGTTAAAAGTGCCTAGGCCTTTTTAGTGAAGTAATGTTCTATTTTTAAATACTTATAATCAAATATACAAAGTATCCATAATTTATAATACCAAAACTAAGCCCATATTCAAGTGAGCCATTGCCAGTCGGGGTCTGAATTGAACCGCATATCTATAGCTTTGCAACGCCTCCTCATATCTTCCCTGTTCTTGTAATAGAATTCCACTATTTTTTCAAACAAAATATAAATTCTATTAAATTCGGATCACAATGAGATGTAAATTTACTCTACGTTTACATTAATAATCTATTTTAAAACAACATTGGTTAATTCTCAATACATTTTAATATTAAGTATAAATAGCACTTCTAACACTCAGAAATAATAAAAAGCAGAGTATTCTTGGAATTTTAATCAAATGAATGCACCTGTTAATGAATGAATGTATTAATAGTTTGCATTTAATGCATAAAAATTTTACTGAATCAATAAATAGTTTATAATTAACTTTTTTAACTTGTATTTCTATTACAATTTTCACGGATCCGGAAAAATCACTTCATTACAAGATAAAAATTTATGAATATTAGTTTATATGTTTCATAGGTATTAAATATATAATTTATATTCATCTCAAATATATGAAAGATGAGTGTTTAAAGAATAACTCAAGAAAATTATCCAATGGATAAAAAATATCATGAAAGTGTTTTAAAAATAAGTGCACTCGAGTCTTTATTACAAATTATTTACCATTTCTCACAATTAATGAGTTACAGAACCGATAAAAACTTAAATATCATTAGAGTTTATAAATCATATATTGTAGATGAAACTGAATATAAGTGATAAAAACTTTTTATGACTTTTATCAGAGGTAAACGTGCGCTAAATATTTAGTGGGGAACATAATTTGGTTTAAGTGTATAATTATTTGACATTTTTAAAGTATTTAAGAGGTAATGGTTTTTAATTGTTTTGAGAAAATAATGTTTGAAAGAATAGATACTTATCTCATTACATAAAGAACTAATTGAGTGAATTTTGGTATTTTTATGTCAAAGTGTTAATTCGGTGACGTTTTCAAAACAAAATCTATCATTATTTCTTATTTCATATAAGAATTTTAAAATAGTTATAAATGACTACACATTATAATTAAAGTACATTACAAGAACCTAAACAGAATCTATAAACTAATGCCGAACAGACAGGCAATGGTTAAAATAATGTACAGATAAATGGACTTACAGATTGTAGTGGACATCAGCCATATTGAATCTATAAGTGAGAGCCTTCTTGTAAGCAGATTCCGCTTCTTTCTTCTTTGACTGAGCGCTCAAAATATTGGCTAAATTGCCAAATGCTTAGAATACAAATATATTTGAAGTAAGAATTTAGTCAATAATGATAAAACAAATTTTCTTACATTAATATTTATAAAGTTAAAATAAAATGGCATTACCTTTTGGTGGGTTGATATCAATGCCGGAACGGTAGAGATTCTCTTCTGTGAGCCAATCAATATTTCTGACGAATGTTCGCACAGAAAATGATAGCAAAAGTAGCGATAATGCAATAAATGTGACAAATCTAATGGTTTTGCGCTTAAGAAATGAATCGATTCCTATGGCTATGAGAAGGCAATACCCGAAGCTCGGGATATACAGTATTCTCTCCGCTATTACAAACCCCACGTAAAAAAAGAGATTTGTTGCGGGAATGAAAGGGATGACCAGTAGAGACAAAGCCATAGTAATGCAATNTTTAAGACTAGAATTTGCTTCCATTTGGTTTAGTCTCACAGAAATAGTTTTGTTAATATGTTTGTGGTTTAGGGGCCGACGGCTCTCTTCTGTTGCAACAAATGTCTCAGTTTTGCCAAATTATTCTGAGTTATCATATCATCGGGTTTTAGGCGCAGGGCTTCCAAATAACTGAGCTCTGCCTCCAAGAGCTTTCCATTCACGTGAAGCATAGCTCCTAAGTTCATATGACTGGTGGCCTCTCGAGGGCGCAGTCGTGTCGCCCGTCGGTAGTAGTTCTCCGCCTCTTCGTTGCGTTTAATCTAAATATTTGAGTAAAATTTCAAAATTGATGGCAAACTAAGCACTTTATATATCATTACATGTCGTAAAGTATTGGCGGTGTTGAAGATAATCTCGTAGTCATTGGGCGCCAGTTTTACAGCTGCTAAGTACACGTCTACGGCCTCTTCATGTCTGTCCTGTTCTGACAAGAATTGTCCTAAAAGTGATATAACATAATGTTGAGAACGATATCAAATCTGCATTCTTGCCATACAATACATACCGTAGTGTTGATAAACACTGGAGTCGTTTGGATCCAAGTGTTTGGCCTTAAGAAACCATTGCTCCGATTCTTGAATTCGATTGGATTTGGCCAACAGTTTAGCATAAGTCAGATGCGCCGGAATGTGATCGGGTTTGGCCGCCAGTGACTGTTTGAACCAATGCTCGGCATCTGTGAGTTGGCCTAACTTGAAGTAAGCCTCCCCTACCATATTATAGAGAGACTGTGCCTGATAGT